GAAAGAGTCAACAGTATAGCTCTCAACAAAACAGAGCATCTCTGTGGACCATGCTCTTCAGGAAAATGGGAAAGAGACATGTGTAAGAGAATTTTTGTGTGATCAAGTAATAGCCATTATGGGAGAGGCATTAGCCAGTATGGGAAAGAATGACCCAAAAGAACAGTAAGTAGAATGGGAGTAGAGTCCAACAACTCAGCTTTTGCTTGGAGACGGTGACTTTCTGGTGTTGAATTTCCTCCTATTTAAGTATTCAATACATTTCACCTTATTAGTGTGATAATGAAGCTTATATATTTTCACTGTCTAATCTGAAGCGCTCATTCTTTGTACAATGAACTGGTTGTAGTCAGGATGTGCAGTTTTTTGCAAAGATGAGTCTGTCTGACACTGTGAGAGAAGAGATGAAGTCTCTATTCCTTTCCATCCCCGTGTAATACTCTTGTATTTTTATTGTATTTTATTTTTTTGCCAGGGTTCTGCAGTGCTTCAGGCAGCAAGTGTTGAATCAGGATGGGAAAAAGACGCTGTGTTCCTCCACTTGAGCCCAAGTTGGCAGCTGGCTGTTGTGGGGTTAAGAAACCCAAATTGTCTGGGAGTGGAACACACAGTCATGGGAACCAGGCCACAACTGTACCAGGCTCAAGTTCTGGTCCTCTTCAGAACCACCAGCATGTGGATGGGAATAATGGAAGGGAAAATGTATCTGACTTGACTTTGGGTCCTGGAAATTCCCCAATTACTCGAATGAATCCCTCTTCGGGAGCTCTGAGCCCACTTTCCCGACCCAATGGAACTGCCAACAGTACCAAGAACCTGGTGGTGACAGCGGAGATGTGCTGCTACTGCTTTGATGTACTCTACTGTCATCTCTATGGTTTCCCTCAGCCACGACTTCCTCGATTTACCAATGACCCCTAGTGAGTAAATCCACGTGTGCGGAAGGAAATCGCCACCCAGAGGTGTGATTTGGTTGGGAGGGAGATGGGTTCATTGGGGAAAGGACAAAGTGGTACACAGGGGCACAAGGAGATAGTCTGATCTTTGTAGGATTTCTTGTCAGAGATAAAAGGGTACACCAGAAGAGGGGGAGGCTCCATTTGATTTGTTGGTAGATATGAAAAACATGGAGCGTGACCCTTCTGTTTCCTGTACAAATGTAGAGCATGTTTAATTTTAGAAACTTGGAGAAGAGTGCTAGTTTAGGCCAGCGGGGGTTGGGCTGCTTGAACCTTCTGTCTCATGAGCTGACACCATGTCCCCCTTACCAAGACATAAAATCCCAACTTCTGGTAAAACTTCTTATCCCAATACTTGATTTCTGACTGAAAGAACAGACTTTTGCAGTAACTGCCCTCCATATATAGCACAGTGCAGCTTTTACTGTGTGGTGCCTTTCCTGCAAATTGCACAAAATTGCACTAACTGGAATTGAGAAACATTTTCAGAAGAGATTGAAATAAGCTGGTTGAAAGGTGGGAAGTCTAATTTTATGTGGCAGATACTGTAAGGAAACAGATGTGCACATCTGTGGTGCAGATTTTGTGAAGGAACAAGGGAAGGGGGTTCTATTTGGGAAGAGCAGGGATCGAGAGACAAAGCTAGAAAGTTTAAGGTAAGAGCGTGAAATGAATGCTGAATTGGTGGGAGTTGGGTGAGGGTGGGAATTACTTTTTTGTATGTCAGAAAGGGTGGGCAAGGAGACAACAGATGAGCAGATGAGGATTTTGGCAGATGTAGAGTTGAAACTAGTTGAAACAGGCAGTGGTGCAGAGATGTGGTGATAGGCAGGGATGCAG